ATAAATTATTTGTGACACAGTAGAGATACTTTCATGGATATGTATTGGTGTTAATTAATTAATTAATTAATTTTCAGTAAAGTAAATAACATTTTATTTAATAAACATACTGTACATAAAATATAAAATAATTTTAGATTTACTGTATGCATATATAGTGCAGTTTTAATAAATTATTTGTGACACAGTAGAGATACTTTCATGGATATGTATTGGTGTTAATTAATTAATTAATTAATTAATTTTCAGTAAAGTAAATAACATTTTATTTAATAAACATACTGTACATAAAATATATACATTTATAATACTAATTACTGTGTGTGTGTGTGTGTATATATATATATATATATATTACTAAATAAAAATACTAAATTCATTTTTTTAAATAAATAACATTTTATTAATATTTTAACACCAAAACATGAAAAACATACTTTTATAAAGCATATATTTTTAAAATGTATATGTTACATATATATATATATATATATACACACACATACAACAACAACAACACACACACACACATATATGCTTCTGTGTATATACTACTAAATAAACATACAATTTTTATTATATAATTATATTTTGTTTTATATAAATATAAAAAATTTTTGGTCTAAAATCTTTGAAAAAAAAAAAACATGTTACTTGTCAAGAACCCACTTTTATCCCTGCTAACTGTGATCTGAACATGACTGACATCTTTTGCTAGTTGGGTATAAACTAATTTTTTATGAGATCAATGTCACCAGTCTGTGTGAGGTTTGATGCACCAATGATCAAGGCCATTTCAGCGGCGTTTTCACCATTCGCTGCAGATAGCAAGGTCAGCAGATGTATTATGAAAGCAGGTGCGCCCACACACACACAGTGTGCTGTGCCTGAACTCCACACAGCACATTGATTTTTTTTCCAGAGGGTAATAACATCATCCCGGTATTGTGAGGAGTAATTTAAACTTAATATGGGTAATTACTCTCCAATAGCTGATAGTTCATTTAAAGCTTGACATAATGCTGTTTGCGTGCAGGAGAATGAAGGATAAAGAATGCCAGGAAAATGGATTAAGCGCTGATGGGCCACACAGTTAGTCAGGCAGCTGTCTTCATTACAGACTATAGGACTAAGCCCTAAGCACCCCCCTGAGGACGTAGCTTCAGAGAAAATCTATATAGAAATGCATCATCAGACAGCAAGACAAACAAACGCTTATCGCCAGCACTACTGTTACAAGGCAGACTTGTGCTACCTGGGGCCTGTTTCATAAAACAAGTTTACCAAATAAGCCAGGTTTATTTCAGTTAGCCTGACTTATTGTCAGTTGATTTGGTTCAAAATAAGTCAGACTACCTGAAATAAGCCTGGCTTATTTGGTAAACTTGTTTTATGAAACAAGCCCCTGCTCTGAAAAGGAGTTTCAGTTGTTGTTTAAACAGATGATCTAAAGGAAACACACCTGGCCCTCCTTCTCTAAAGAACGATTCAGAATGGCAGATGTATTTTGTGTAAATACACTGTAAAAATGAGTTTGCAAAGTTGTAAATAGCATGAATAAGTCTTTTAACAAACATGTCTTTTAGTTACAATTCACATTCACTGTGTTACCTAGCTACTTATTTTCATTTAGTGTTTGTTCTAAACTACTAAAACTGAAATAAAAAGTAATAAAAACTATATAGACATATTTTTTTTAAACTAATAAAATTGATGAAAACACAAAATGACTCAAACTTTAACTAAATTTGAAAGAAAACAGAAAAAATGTATAAAACTATTTTTAAAATAATTGTATAAATGTTGTTATATAAATAATTTAAATATTAATAAAAACTGTCTCAATGATCCTAAAATAACACTGTATACTTGGTGTTTCTTTGTCATTTTTTGTGAAATTTACTAGCAATTTTTTGAATAGCCACTTTTTTTTTAGGTACAAAGAATTTTAAGGAGTTGGTGCTTCTAACAAAAATGGAATCACACATGCAATATGCAATACAAAAGCTTCAATGATGTTATTTTAAAACAAAACAGAACCTCTATCTGTTCTCCACCACTAATAAAACAAGGTCACACATCTCTTCTTTAGAGGGCAACCCTGCTCTGTCTTCCTCAGGGAATCGTGTACCATGCTCTCGTGAGAGAAAGAGGACACAGAGACACAGAGCACAGTCTGCTGCAGAAAAACATTCACATTCATCGTTCCTCGCGGATTTACAGTAATGGCCAAAGTCATACAAGGTGAGTCGTTCCACACTGTCAAAGCCAGACGCGAGGCGAGGTCCTCAACCATCTGGCCAACAATGTGCAGCTCCACACACAGGCATGTTATACATATGTTTATTTAAATCACAGAAAGTGGATTTCAATTGTTTAAACTTTTAAGTCAGATTATGTATGCATGGAGGCCACTGGTTCACATCACTGTAAAATTTTTAACATATCAGATAGAAAGATTATTATTTGATGCAGACGATTCAAGACCAAAGGAATTTACAGCAATGGTGAATGGTTGATGTAGGAATTTCATTTGTTTAGTCTATAAATGCGGATTATGTCACTTGCGAGATTGGTACTGACGTTAAATATGAAACAAGATATACTGTATACATAATGAACTAGCTTAAGATGACAAATGTTCACTTTCTTAATCATTGTGATACTGCTGTTACAAAAAAAAAATCTCTCTTGTTTATTGAACAGATGTTTCATCAAATAAAACGCACGCCAATGTCTCAATGATCCTAAAATAACACTGTATACTTGGTGTTTCTTTGTCATTTTTTGTGAAATTTACTAGCAATTTTTTGAATAGCCACTTTTTTTTTAGGTACAAAGAATTTTAAGGAGTTGGTGCTTCTAACAAAAATGGAATCACACATGCAATATGCAATACAAAAGCTTCAATGATGTTATTTTAAAACAAAACAGAACCTCTATCTGTTCTCCACCACTAATAAAACAAGGTCACACATCTCTTCTTTAGAGGGCAACCCTGCTCTGTCTTCCTCAGGGAATCGTGTACCATGCTCTCGTGAGAGAAAGAGGACACAGAGACACAGAGCACAGTCTGCTGCAGAAAAACATTCACATTCATCGTTCCTCGCGGATTTACAGTAATGGCCAAAGTCATACAAGGTGAGTCGTTCCACACTGTCAAAGCCAGACGCGAGGCGAGGTCCTCAACCATCTGGCCAACAATGTGCAGCTCCACACACAGGCATGTTATACATATGTTTATTTAAATCACAGAAAGTGGATTTCAATTGTTTAAACTTTTAAGTCAGATTATGTATGCATGGAGGCCACTGGTTCACATCACTGTAAAATTTTTAACAGATCAGATAGAAAGATTATTATTTGATGCAGACGATTCAAGCCCAAAGGAATTTACAGCAATGGTGAATGATTGATGTAGGAACTTCATTTGTTTAGTCTATAAATGCGGATTATGTCACTTGCGAGATTGGTACTGACGTTAAATATGAAACAAGATATACTGTATACATAATGAACTAGCTCAAGATGACAAATGTTCACTTTCTTAATCATTGTGATACTGCTGTTACGAAAAAAAAATCTCTCTTATTGTTTATTGAACAGATGTTTCATCAAATAAAACGCACGCCAATGTTTTTAAGAACAGTTATTAATTTTATGCAATACTTTTTGCACAGGAAATTCATTACAAATAGTTAGATATGAATTTTATCCAATCACAACAAAACAAACTGCTTTGACACTTGAGAGATGTTGAGTTTTCCTTAAATACTTTAATTAGGTGTTAACAAAAAGTGGTAGTTTATTCCAGTCAGTTGATAGTGTTTTTCAGTGTGCTTATTAATATACAGAACATCCAAAGAACAAAACAGGTCCACTTCAGCCCCCTGATGCTTCTTTAAAGCACATTAGCACATCGTTTACTTTTTTAAGCAAATCATTTATAACGCCGGGTTGCTAACGAGCTCCTCGCAGCTCAAAACCAGTGTGAACATCTGTGAAAATATAAGCGAGTTGATACATGCATGGTGAGGAATGAGAGAGGGTGATGCTGTGTTTAATGTCATCATTTGGTCATTATTGTCAATGGTCCTTTCAGTGTTAACACACACAAACAAACAATAATGCGTCCAGACATGATCTGTTTTCAAAACGCTCCACCCGAAGAGCTGGGTGCCATTGATGGGGCCGTGAAGGGTAAACACAATCCAGGACCCCTTAGTACATCATGCATCTGATCTGACTAGAAATCCCCCAAAGGGACAAAATTAACACACACACACACACACACACACACACACACACAAAAAAGCTTTTCCGTGACTGTAATGAGAAACAACAAACTCACGTGCATTGATGCTCAGTGTAAAAAGTATATAAACGGAATATCATAACCAGAAAGACAATGTATCACATTTAACACAAAAAGCAAGAAATAAAGAAAAAAGTGAGAAGTACTTTACACATGCAGCCGCTGAAGAGTAAAAACATACTTTTCCCTCATCTCTATGGAGAGCACTGACAGGAACATACTAATTTTAGTGTCTTATTTTGGTCCTGCGTTGAAGAAAGCTGTTGTATTTCACGTCTATTTTCTCCCTCCTTTCCCTCTCTATACAGAAAACTTCTCCATTCACAGTTTGTCAGTATTTACAACAGTGTTCATTAGTGTTCCTGAACATCTGTGAAAATATAAGCGAGTTGATACATGCATGGTGAGGAATGAGAGAGGGTGATGCTGTGTTTAATGTCATCATTTGGTCATTATTGTCAATGGTCCTTTCAGTGTTAACACACACAAACAAACAATAATGCGTCCAGACATGATCTGTTTTCAAAACGCTCCACCCGAAGAGCTGGGTGCCATTGATGGGGCCGTGAAGGGTAAACACAATCCAGGACCCCTTAGTACATCATGCATCTGATCTGACTAGAAATCCCCCAAAGGGACAAAATTAACACACACACACACACACACACACACACACACACAAAAAAGCTTTTCCGTGACTGTAATGAGAAACAACAAACTCACGTGCATTGATGCTCAGTGTAAAAAGTATATAAACGGAATATCATAACCAGAAAGACAATGTATCACATTTAACACAAAAAGCAAGAAATAAAGAAAAAAGTGAGAAGTACTTTACACATGCAGCCGCTGAAGAGTAAAAACATACTTTTCCCTCATCTCTATGGAGAGCACTGACAGGAACATACTAATTTTAGTGTCTTATTTTGGTCCTGCGTTGAAGAAAGCTGTTGTATTTCACGTCTATTTTCTCCCTCCTTTCCCTCTCTATACAGAAAACTTCTCCATTCACAGTTTGTCAGTATTTACAACAGTGTTCATTAGTGTTCCCTGCTCCATTCTTCCAAGTTTGATACCCACTTCCATCTAAAGCGAGGCCACATGCCCAATCATCGTAAAACAACTTCTTGATTCAATACATTGTGCACATTCTATGTAGATGACAGTATTCTTAAATAAAAAATAACAATAAAACAAAGTATAAAGTTTTTCTTCCTTACGCTACACTTTTTTTTTCTGAGGAGAGGCAGAACAGATAATCAGAAAGTCTTCAAGAATATCCCATGTGGTATAGAGTTTAAAAATGGCTTACTATATATGCTCAATGGATTCTCTTTAATATATACAAATAAAATGTGTATCAGACATCATAAGCATTAGGATGTCCTGCGTACCATCACAGTCATTCTTTTCCTTTAGTTTGCAGAGTGTAAAGTAACCCAAAACTGCCATTCCAACTACGTTGGTCGACGCACAAAGGCACTGATAAATTTCATCAGTGCTGATTTACATGATACAAAAATAAACAAGAAAAATAGACTTAAGGACTAGTGGTTACAAATGGCAGAAAGTGAGAGGTTTGGCAAAGTTAATGATTCATCTGGTCCCAACAAAATGAAGTCAGGTTGTTGTTTCCTTTCTGATTGTTTGCGACCATGCAAATAAAGGCAGCGATGATATGCACGTAACAGAAACAGGCAGGCCGTTCACACACACTCCTCCGCAGACATCAGCAGAGGGTTGATGTACTCAAAGCCCTCAAATTCAGACTGGTCGATCTTCTTTACAGCATCACTGGGAGGGAGACAAAGACACAATCAATCTGTATTAACTGCTACGGCACATTTAACTCACTACGGCTTTCAAATAGAGCTCAGGCTGTAAAACATATTCCTGGAAAACAGGGATATATGGAAACGAGGGAACTCTGTATAATGTGTCATCAGGGGTTGTAAATTTGACATTACTTCCTGATGAAACCTGCATTGCTGTGGTAAAGATCTGAAGCAGATTAATGGTGCCTGAGGTCTGATTCAGAAAGCTTGAGGCGTGACACAGACAGATACACATGAACAGACACTCACTCATCGTCAGGTGTGAGCTGAATGGGCTCATTGGTGAACTGGGTATCAAAGTTATCCAACCCAAATTCGCCGGAGATGTTGGGCTTGAAGGGCGGAACCACTTGCTTCTGCTCCATCTGAAATACAGTTCACATGAGTCAATTAACAACTACGACTGTGTCATAAAGCAGTCTCATACTTCAGCACGCAGTGCTCATATTAAATACTAACCAGTAATTACATATGGCATTGGTTTTAAAAGAATAGAAAGAGTACTATTTAAAAAATGCTATTAAAAAAGTCTTATGCTCATCAAGACTGCATTTATTTGATAAAAATACAGTAAAAACAGAAATATTATTGCAATTTAAAATAACAGATTTCTGTTTTAATATACTTTACATATAATTTATTCCTGTGATGGCAAAGCTGAATTTTCCTCAGAAATCACTACAGTCTTCAGTGTCACGTGATCCTTAAGAAATCATTCTAATATGTTGATAAGTTCTAATATGTCAATATTGAAAACAGTTGTGCTGCTTAATATTTTTTGGGACCCTTGATACTTTTTTTTCAGGATTCTTTGAGGAATAAAAAGTTTAAAAAAAACAGCAGTTATTCAAAACAGACATCTTTTGTAACATATACCACCGTTCAAACATATGGGGTCAGTAAGTTTATTTTCTTGTTTTCTCCAAAAACCACTGAAGAGCAATCTCAGCAAGGATTCAATATTATATTTAGGCAAACCGATCCTTTCCAGGGTTTGTTCAGTGCTGCTATTAGTTTGGCCTTCCCAGGGCTGCAAGGTTAGGATCTGCTCCCCCTGCAGGCCGACTCGGGCACTGCATCCTGTCTGAGTAGAAAGTGTAATCTGAGCCCTTCAAACTGCCTGACCACCCCTTTGTGTATGTGTGTGTATGTGTGTTCACCCAGACCAAACAGGGACAAGAGGTCACTGTGTTCGTCTGAGTCTCGTCTGCTGGTTTGACATCATTTAAACCTGCCTCACACATGATACAGTTCACTGTCACAACCTCAGACCAGAAAAATCAATGATTTGACACCTTATAACCTTCATTAAATCACTGGCCTTACACATGAGAGTTCATGTCATGATACAACCATGCACCACCAAAGGGTCACTTCTCGTCTGCTAGATTATTTAGATGGAGTATTTGATAAGAATTCATAAAATGAATGTGTAAAATATGTAGATTGCTATTCAATGATTATTTAAATCAGGAAATGCAGAAAAATTTAAAGGAATGGTTTACAAAAAAACATTTTATAATCATTTAGTCACTCTTATGCCATTTCAAACCCTTATGCTGTATATTACGGTCATATTGATGATGAAGATAATAATAAACTAGTAATATTGTAGGACCACACCCTAAAGACTAACAAAAACCTGTGGGAAACAAATATATTTAAAAAAAACAACAACAGCAGGTGTGGAAAAATAATACAGGTGTAAATATTGACTACTGTTAAAGCTGACATTCCTGAAATAATATTTGAAGTGGTAATAGTGCTAACATCAAATTACATGAATGAATAATCAAATGGATGGTTACTCAAGGTCATAAACAGCACTAAATAGTTCTTCAGGCTCCAGTAAGTCCTCTGTTTAGTTTCACTACCGTCAGGCTACAGCAAATGACTCATGCTTCCGCTGCGGGCTCGAGTCAAAACATCCAATAAGTCAGATAAAGGAAACAGAGATAGCGGTGACTCACAAGATCCCAGTCTACATTTCGGAAAAAAGGATGGGCCGTGATGTCTGCAAAGCCTGTCTGAGGGTGACATCCGAGGCGTTCCTTTGGCTCCTACAAAAAAAGTGAAAAAGAAATCAGTGAGAAGAAACAAGAGAGCAAAGAGACCAAAACAGAAAAACAAAGAGAGTAGAGAGTGTTTAGAGTGTACGAAAGGGGTTTGGAACAATAATTATGACAGCTCTATAACAGGTCCACGTGACATAAGGATATTAACATTGATCTGTCTGGTCTGCTTTACCTTGTTGAGGAATCCCTTTAGCACGCTAGCGGCTTTAACCGATAATGATCGGGGAATTCTGATCTGCTTCTCCAAAATTACTGCAAATGAGAAAAAATTAATGGGATATACTGAGAGACATTGAAATTTTTTTTTGAAACACGTATGCTTGTCATGTACCTTGGAAAAGATAATCTTCTGTGTTTTGGTCTGGGTTATCAGAGCTGCCTACTATGTCAAAGGGTGACCTCCCAGCCATCATCTCAAACATAAGGACGCCCAGTGCCCACCAGTCCACACTAAAACCTGTAAAGAAAACATGCACACACAAAGTTGCACATGTACCATCCGGAGCCTCTAAAATGGGAAGCTTAGCACTGACATAAACTCAAATTGTAGAAAGTCATGAAGTAGACACTAATAGCAATAAATGGATTAAGCACTGTGCACTAGCGCACATAGTTGCCAACTGAAAGTCTTTGTGAAGAGGTTTGTCTGTGTGTGAACTGTGCTTACCGTAGTCTTCTCCTCTCAGAATCTCAGGTGCAATGTAATTGGGGGTTCCACAGAAAGTGCTGGTTGTGTCTCCTGGTCTCAGTCCCTCCTGCATAAGAGATGAATATTGAAACCAAAGAAACACTCAGGCACACAATGATACTGATCGATTTTTTTTTATAGCCAGTGGCTATATTTTAGAGACTACATACATGGGATTTCTCTCAGAGATCTCACAATATTAATGGTAGTAAATAAAATAACACATGCATAATTTCTGCAATTAAGTTATTTATTTTACATAATATTTACTAAAATAATCATAAAAAAATAAAGTGAATGAAGGAAAATTTGAAAAGTAATTTTTAAAACAAAGAGTCATATACATCATGATTAAGAATTCCTATTATAGTATTTTACACAAATACAGAAACTGATAAAAATAAATAAAATGGATGTAAAAACTGCAACCAGCAGTGCATTTAGTAACATGGTATGTTTGTGTGCACTGGGAATTATTTTCACAAATAAAAAGCAGGTAATGTTGATTTTACATATAGTACACTGTGAATATAAGATAAATATAACAGAGGCAAACTTGATATTAGGGCAGCCCACGGCTAAAGATTTTTCTAGTCGACTAATCACACATTTATATTATTTAAATTAATGAAATATATACTGGGGGGGTGGGGAACTAAACCATAAGTAGCCTTTAATATATAGCCTCTTTGAACTCAAGTGCACAAATAACTTGCCGCAAAACACCGGCGAAAGTATTGACCATGTGTTGGGCAAAACATCAAGCTTTTTGTAGATATATTTCTCAGCTCAAGTAGCCTATATGCTGAGTTTCACCATAGTCCAGCACGCGAAGACCAAGATGGCAGAAAGGGCGTCCTATTTGTTCTCTTTATTTTACGAAAGCACAACATCTTGTTGATATCATGTGCTTATATAAATAAAAGTAGCTTCCACACTCCACACAAACTCTTGCATATATAATAAAGTGCACCTAATAAAGCACATTTATCTAGGTTAACATTAGAGCAAACGGCCGTGTAAAGTTGCTACTACTCAAATGTTTCAATGATAAAGCCATATTTGAGGTTGATGAATGATAGGCAAACGTTTGTATGATATTCAACTATATTCTTGTCAGCAGATATGGCTTAATCAAAATGGCACTTAATCAATTGAGACAATGAACATCTTCAGATGTACCTTACACATGCCGTAATCAGTGAGTTTGATGTGTCCCTCTGACTCCAGCAAAACATTGTCCAGCTTCAGGTCCCTGTAAATGATGCCACGCTCATGGAGGTAGTTTAAGGCAAGACTGATCTCTGCTGAGTAAAACCTGCCAGTAGAAAGAACAAGAGAAACAGTTAGTGACCTCATTAGTGTTTCTGTTCCTGTGGTCATTCAGACTGAAGTCAACTTCAACCCTGCTCAGGCTGTTCATTAACACTGAACCATGTTACTGATAGACAGCTCACATCCTCATACCTGGCATGCTCTTCCGGAAGTTTTCTCTGTCGCTGCATGTGGAACATTAGATCCCCTCCATTCACATATTCGATTACAAAGAATAGCCTGTGAAAGACAAGCATTAAATAATCATTAGCCCTCACCAGACAAACAAAACAGTTTACACTAAACTGAAGGGCTCAACAATAAGAATGGCCTGAGGACCAATATAAGAGTATCATTTTAATTTTTTATACCAGTTATTCCTTGTCACTACGTCTTATACTTGTATGTTTGCATAAAAAGAGTGAGTATGGACAGACCTGCTCAATGTCTGGAAGCAGGAATGAAGTCCCACCAGGAAGGGATGGTTGGAAGCCTGCTCAAACACATGCTTTTCTGTTTGAACCCAGTCAATATCCTGAAAAACAAGAAAGAGAAGAACAAACACACACATACACACAAAAATCAATCTCCCATTGAAAAGCAGAGCATTCTTTCTGTCGGTAGGGGAAACATTTGGAAGGACATTCAGGACTGTATCGAGTAGAAGTGCCTCACAAGGCTGAAAACTGATAAAGGTTTAAAAGATGGGGGCACCAGGTCTTCCCAAGGATGTGAGGAGACTCACAATGGACAGATACAGAGTGAAAAACTAGGACCTTTCATTGACAGCTGGGTAAAAATACCTCTGACCGTGAGACTCGCTTAAAGAAGCACTGCAGGGTCAGTAGAGCGCAGCTGCCATTATTGAACATCGGCTGCTGCTGTCAATTCATCACACAAGGCTTAAATGCATCTAATCAACGTTAAATGCCCACTTCATCAACATCTAGTCATCTGTATGTGTACTTCAACACATCCTGGAAAGATTAGAGCCACTCTTTGCTTGTTTTATTCTGCAGTCAAGACTCAAATAGCTCAAATTATTGAGTTGTTCAGTAATTTAGTGTGAAAATAAATATTTCAAGCTGTGAAGTGTCAAGAATGCTTTCAACCTGAAGCACAGAGTTTGGTGTGACAAGGTAGTCTGGGATGTGGTTCATTTGAACTTGGTATGGATGCAATCTGATTTATATAATGAATTTATATAATAATATATCAGTGGCAACTTTGCACATTCCCAATGTTTGAAATGTGAAATGTCACCTCGTCATCGTTCACCAGCTCCTTCTTCACCACCTTCATGGCGTAGATGCGGTCTGTCTTTTTGAGACGAACTAGCAGGACCTTGGCGTAGCTGCCCCTGCCAATCACTCGGAGCAGGTCAAAATCTTTTAGCCCCAAACTGGACACAGACTTCCCTGAGTCTCGACTGCCCACAGCCTGAAGGATGGACAAAGAGAATATTAAACCACAAACATCTTTTATTTATTTATATGTATATACACATTTATATACACGTTGCGTGATATGCCCCTAAAATTCCAGATATGAGGGCAAACAATGCCCCTGTAGGGGTTTTGTCTTATATTTATGATATATTATGAGACAGTTTAGCAAGATCATATGTGACCCTGGACCACAAAACCAGTCTTAAGTTGCACAGGCATGTTTGTAGCAATAGCCAACAATACACTGTATGGGACTAAATGATTTTGACATTCATCATGACATTTTTCTTTTATGCCAAAAATCATTAGGATATTAAGCAAAGGTCATGTTCCATGAAGATATTTTGTACATTTCCTACTGTAAATATATCAAAACTTAATTTTTGATTAGTAATATGCATTGCTAAGGACTTAATTTGGACAACTTTAAAGGTGATTTTCTCAATATTTTGATTTTTTTGCACCCTCAGATTCTAGATTTTCAAATAGTTGTATTACAGCCAAATATTGTCCAATCCTAACAAATCATGCATCAATGGAAAGCTTATTATTAATTATTAAAGTTAATATGCAGTTAATTAATCAGCACATCATGTAATCAATTAGATTAAAAATGTTAATCGCTTGACAGTCCTAATATGTATATAAATAATCAATCTCCTCTCTCTGGTTTATATCTCTTCCCTGTCCTTTCCCTCTGTATGATTTCCCATGACTGTGACAGAGCTACAGGAGCATGTGCCCTTAATCAGATTCTAATGACCCTGATAGAAGGTTACTTTATTAGCTCCACTAAAGGAAATCAATACAGCCCGAATGAACCTTGTGCACACCCCCATCCCTTTCCCTGAGTGACAACTTCAGCCTGATCATCTGTCTGGGAATGGACTGCTGAAAGCTCATGTAATCAAACGAAACATTCATAATGGTGCTATTTACACCTGGTACTAACATTTATTTTGACCAACTGGATCAAAAAGTGGAAATTGCTAATTGTCTGATTGTTCATACCTCATTAAAAAAACACATTTGTGTTCATTGCATTTGTAGTGTAAATGCTTATCTGCCCTGGAGCATCTGAGAGATCATCAAACATGCAAGTGACCAGCTAAAGATAAAAAAGAACACCCTTTTCACCCATTCAATACAACTATAAAATAATAACATCAACAACTATCGGTATTATTCAAAGTAATATTTTACTGGTAATAAGTAATAAATAGTAAAATTACTAGTAAAAAGTAATAAATTACTATTGCAATAATACAAACCCAATTCCTAAAAAGTTGGGACACTGTACAAATTGTGAGTAAAAAAGGAATGGAATAATTTACAAATCTCATAAAACTTATATTTTATTCACAATAGAATATAGATAACATATCAAATGTTGAAAGTGAGACATTCTGAAATGTCATGCCAAATATTGGCTCATTTTGGATTTTATGAGAGCTACACATTCCAAAAATTTGGGACAGGTAGCAATAAGAGGCCGGAAAAGTTAAATGTACATATAAGGAACAGTTGGAGGACCAATTTGCAACTTATTAGGTCAATTGGCAACATGATTGGGTATAAAAAGAGCCTATCAGAGAGGCAGTGTCTCTCAGAAGTCAAGATGGGCAGAGGATCACCAATTCCCCCAATGCTGCGGCGAAAAATAGTGGAGCAATATCAGAAAGGAGTTTCTCAGAGAAAAATTGCAAAGAGTTTGAAGTTATCATCATCTACAGTGCATAATATCATCCAAAGATTCAGAGAATCTGGAACAACCTCTGTGCGTAAGGGTCAAGGCCGGAAAACCATACTGGATACCCGTGATCTTCGGGCCCTTAGACGGCACTGCATCACATACAGGAATGCTACTGTAATGGAAAACACAACATGGGCTCAGGAATACTTCCAGAAAACATTGCCGTGAACACAATCCACCGTGCCATTCACCGTTGCCGGCTAAAACTCTATAGGTAAAAAAAGAAGCCATATCTAAACATGAGCCAGAAGCGCAGGCGTTTTCTCTGGGCCAAGGCTCATTTAAAATGGACTGTGGCAAAGTGGAAAACTGTTCTGTGGTCAGACGAATCAAAATTTGAAGTTATTTTTGGAAAACTGGGACGCCATGTCATCCGGACTAAAGAGGACAAGGACAACCCAAGTTGTTATCAGCGCTCAGTTCAGAAGCCTGCATCTCTGATGGTATGGGGTTGCATGAGTGCGTGTGGCATGGGCAGCTTACACATCTGGAAAGGCACCATCAATGCTGAAAGGTATATCCAAGTTCTAGAACAACATATGCTCCCATCCAGACGTCGTCTCTTTCAGGGAAGACCTTGCATTTTCCAACATGACAATGCCAGACCACATACTGCATCAATTACAACATCATGGCTGCGTAGAAGAAGGATCCGGGTACTGAAATGGCCAGCCTGCAGTCCAGATCTTTCACCCATAGAAAACATTTGGCGCATCATAAAGAGGAAGATGCAACAAAGAAGACCTAAGACAGTTGAGCAACTAGAAGCCTGTATTAGACAAGAATGGGACAACATTCCTATTCCTAAACTTGAGCAACTTGTCTCCTCAGTCCCCAGACGTTTGCAGACTGTTATAAAAAGAAGAGGGGATGCCACACAGTGGTAAACATGGCCTTGTCCCAACTTTTTTGAAATCAACTTATTTTTCCCTTAAAATTATACATTTTCTCAGTTTAAACATTTGATATGTCATCTATGTTGTATTCTGAATAAAATATTGAAATTTGAAACTTCCACATCATTGCATTCTGTTTTTATTCACAATTTCTACAGTGTCCCAACTTTTTTGGAATCGGGTTTGTACTATAGTACTGTAAAAAATGATTATGAAATAATAATTATAAATATTATTGTACAGAACAGTAAAATTACAATACTCATATTTATGGTTGTCTGTCCTACTTTGCTTTCAAACTTTAAACTATACAGATTTTATTCTGGCATAAAACTGCAGGGAGACCGTAAAGCTTCTCTTTTGTTGACAACTGATTTATAGACAAAAAGGGAAGATGGCTGGCTTGTCAAGTTTTCAATGCACATTAAAAGCGACTTAAGCTCACAGCGCTTGCAGAGATGGAGTTCGTGAGAAGCAGCATTTACCACTTGTGAATGGATCAACTGAGATGGATGTTAAAACCAGGAGTAAACAAGGCCAAAGCATGTCTTACCTCATGCTCCTCTCCCTCATGATTGATACTTTCCGTTGAGTTCTTTTTGTCTAGAACTAGGAAACAACAAAAAGAAACAGGGAAAGTCATCATCACTCAGCGGCCTGTGGGCATTATTCATTAATATACTTACAAAAAATTAATTCACAAGCCTAAACCAAACCAGGCACATTGATAAATAAAGCACTTTGAAAAAACAGGGGGATTGAAATTTATCTGACCAGCACTGTAACTAAAGCCATGAGCTGTTCACGTCATTAATTCCAACAAACAAGCTTAATCTTGTGAGAAGACTCACGCCTGTAGGCTGCTCACTGCATCAATCTGTTTCAGTGCAAGCACACGCCTAATTACTAAAGGGAAACATCGGCTTAGCCCATCCAGTCATTTAAAGATGAAAATCAGTGGCATCAATGAGCCACTATAGATCTTAGTGAATCAATTTAGTCACTTAATGAATGCAATAACTCAGATGAACACTGATTAACACCTCTGCATTACAAGTCACTTTTAAGTTAGTGACTTTGCTAACAAAACACATGGCGAGTTTATCTGCTTGACTTTATATTTTTGTAAATGGACCTCTGGGTAGAATATTTATGTAGTTACCAAGTTAGCATGGGAATCAGGGCATTTTTTCAATTCAGGTTCAGAAATGTATACCTGATTAAACTTTAAAAAAAACATTGAAATTCTGAAATAGATTTTTCAAAAGTCTGAGCAAGGTACAGAAGGTTGATTATTATGTGACCCCAGGCAGAATCATTTAAACTCAGATGGAAAGCCTTAAAAGAAAATTATTTCTGAAAACTGATTGCAAGTTTAATTGAAAATCTCAAAAGGACATTCTTTCCTGAAAATTGATTTAGTCTGCTATTCAAGCCCAAAGAAGTAAGGAAAATGTAATAAACACACTTGATAGATATATAATGACAAACGCATGTGAAGCGCTGGACAAAAATAGATGAGAGTCTATAGTACCTTGATCAGCGTGCTCTGATGGAGTGGACCCTGGATCGATTCTTCCAATCATCGGGTCCTAGAAAAATTGTACGAAGGTCAAAAATAAATACAGATTGAAATTCATAGTGTTATTAGCAGAAAATGCATGTCCAACATGAAGGTCTATACAAAAAAATGTGTATATATATTTTTTTAAATATCTGGCATATCTGGTAAGACATTTAGCTACCATTAAGAATGTCTAATCTATTTTATATTTAAATTTACTTCACAAAAAAAAAAAGTGAAAGGAGCATACAGATTCCATGTGGACTTACTAATGTCTCACCTGTATTACCTGTCTACCACACTCCACTGTGACCAATTTATGGCATTTCTTATGGACCAGCAGTTTACAGTTTATGCACTTGTATCCCTGCCTGCCCAGGCCCCAGATACGATCTGTGCAGATGGCACAATGAGCACGCTGTACACAACAGAAAACACAGGAACAAGAACAATAAACTAAACTGACAGCATTTGCATACAATTCAGACAAATTAAGTAACATAGCCTGTTTCAGAAATTTAAAAAAAGCATGTTTGTACCCTGTTAAAACGTTTGGCCTGAAACGCATGTCCACTGGCATAGTAGAGTTTCCTCCAGCGCCGAGCTCCGCGACGGTATATGGACTCTGAGTACAACATAAAGGCATGAATTAAACCTACTAATTACCATCATTATAACCCAATGCATGCTTTCCAGCAATATAAAGTGCAAAAAAAAAAAACCATTAAGATGTTTGACCTTAAGATAAATGACCATAAATGACAAAATGCACATACTGTCTTCTCCAGGACAGGGCATGCCAGGGTTCTCAGGGATACAAGGAAACACTGTGGAGAGAAAGAGACTGTGGAAAAAAAGCACTGACAAACATTTCCAGAACGACCTCTCTGTGACCTCTCCTCATTTGACAACGGATAAGGACTTTGGGGTCAAGAAACAGAGTCTGTCCAGGCCCGTGAGGTCAGCTGCTGTGGAGAGTGGCTATTGACGGACAGTTGGTTGGGGTCTTTTTCTGAAAGCCCTTGTGGCCAGATATCTCCTCCTCAGCATGACTAATTAACTCACACAGCAGGCAGAATGATGTATCTCTGTCAATCAATCCCCTGAATCCTATCTCTCCTGTACATTAATAATCTAAGGACCTGTATAAGGGTGTGTTATAAATAAATAAATACATGTAGCCAAGCCAGAACATCAAAATGTGGAGCTTGGTCTGAACACATTAGTAGGGGCTTGCTACACTGCATGTCACATGTCATGCTTCAAAGGACATGGCTGTTACATAATTTTGAACCAGCGTAACACCACTGAAATGGGAACCAGGTGGCAAGCAATGTGGATTAGTGTCTGTGACCATTAAACAGCAAAAATGTGCTATTTAAATAAGAAGTTTGTTTGTTCTGCAGGTCTGTCTGTCTTTGTGTGAATGAGCTGTTTTTGTCTACTACATACAGGTGCATCTCAATAAATTAGAATGTCATGGAAAAGTCCATTTATTTCAGTAATCCAACTCAAATTGTGAAACTCGTGTATTAAATAAATTCAATGCACACAGACTGAAGTAGTTTAAGTCTTTGGTTCTTTTAATTGTGATGATTTTGGCTCACATTTAACAAAAACCCACCAATTCACTATCTCAACAAATTAGAATACTTCATAAGACCAATAAAAAAAAAAACATTTTTAGTGAATTGTTGGCCTTCTGGAAAGTATGTTCATTTACTGTACATGTACTCAATACTTCGTAGGGGCTCCTTTTGCTTTAATTACTGCCTCAATTCGGCGTGGCATGGAGGTGATCAGTTTGTGGCACTGCTGAGGTGGTATGGAAGCCCAGGTTTCTTTGACAGTGGCCTTCATTTCATCTGCCATTTTTGGTCTCTTGTTTCTCATTTTCCTCTTGACAATACCCCATAGATTCTCTATGGGGTTCAGGTCTGGTGAGTTTGCTGGCCAGTCAAGCACACCAACACCATGGTCATTTACCCAACTTTTGGTGCTTTTGGCAGTGTGAAGGAAGCATGAAGTGCTCCAAAATTTCTTGGTAAATGGGTGCAGTGACGTTGGTTTTCAAAAAACACAAATGGACCAACACCAGCAGATGACATTGCACCCCAAATCATCACAGACTGTGGAAACTTAACACTGGACTTCAAGCAACTTGGGCTATGAGCTTCTCCACCCTTCCTCCAGACTCTAGGACCTTGGTTTCCAAATGAAATACAAAACTTGCTCTCATCTGAAAAGAGGGCTTTGGACCACTGGGCAACAGTCCAGTTCTTTTTCTCCTTAGCCCAGGTAAGACGCCTCTGACGTTGTCTGTGGTTCAGGAGTGGCTTAACAATAGGAATACGACAACTGTAGCCAAATTCCTTGACACGTCTGTGTGTGGTGGCTCTTGATGCCTTGACCCCAGCCTCGGTCCATTCCTTGTGAAGTTCACTCACATTCTTGAATCGATTTTGCTTGACAATTCTCATAAGGCTGCGGTTCTCTCGGTTGGCTGTGCATTTTTTTCTTCCACTCAACTTTCTGTTAACATGCTTGGATACAACACTCTGTGAACAGCCAGCTTCTTTGGCAATGAATGTTTGTGGCTTACCATCCTTGGGAAGGGTGTCAATGATTGTCTTCTGGACAACTGTCAGATCAGCAGTCTTCCCCGTGATTGTGTAGGCTAGTGAACCAAACTGAGAGACCATTTTGAAGGCTCAGGAAACCTTTGCAGGTGTTTTGAGCTGATTAGCTGATTGGCATGTCAACATATTCTAATTTGTTGAGATAGTGAATTGGTGGGTTTTTGTTAAATGTGAGCCAAAATCATCACAATTAAAAGAACCAAAGACTTAAACTACTTCAGTCTGTGTGCATTTAATTTATTTAATACACGAGTTTCACAATTTGAGTTGAATTACTGAAACAAATGAACTTTTCCATAACATTCTAATTTATTGAGACGCACCTGTACACTCAAGCATGTGTGGTGCATGTGGCCTTTTCAGCGTCTGTTGTCTCTATATAAGGACACTGTCATTAACATTTTAATAAATTATTAAATTGTCAAAGATTTATTCATTAAATTGATTAGACATCCCTTTTTGCTTATTAACAGAATTTGGAAAAAACTCAAAAGTATTTCATAGGACCCTGTTTGTCGGTTTTTCACGTCACACCTGCTTAAGACATGGTGTAAGGCCTCATCTGTCATAATTCTTTCAAAAATCTATAGAATGATACAGAGTACAAAATCATACGTAGCCCACCGACATCAAAAGCCAAATCCCAGCATACCGTGAATAATGAGCTCCGAGTCTTTGTTGAGTTCATAGAGACGTAAGGCCTCCTCCAGCTCCAGCTGAGAAGAAACGGTGCACGGATCCCCTACAATGACAAGCACAGTGAACACTCACTAGAAAACGCTACCAAGACATCAGCATAGGCAACATATCTGTCACTGCAAAGAGAAACAGAGAGAGTGAGAGAAACAAAGCACGACTGAGAAAGAGACAAGAAACAAGCCCCTGCTTGTGATTCTACAGATTTTGGGAGAGCATAATGCAAAAACCTGTTTTTCACCATGAATTAGTAACAGGGTCTGTGGTGATGTCCGAAGTTGACGTCAATCCTGTTGCATCTAAAGAGCAGCCTGTGGCACCGACAGTCACCGCTTGTGTAGACATCACAGCGGAGGCAATGAGTGACGGCGGGCATCGATGCCAAGGCTTATGCAGACAGATGGGATTAACTTCTCGCCATGACGACCCTCTCAGATCAGCTATGCTAATGAGCAATATGACTCTGGGCTCAGCGTGGAATGGTGAAGATTTTGGTATTTAAATGAACGTTCTCCCATCACCATTTCCCATCTCGCATGACTAATGCAGCAGTTAATCATCACACACAGTCAATCTTTCCAGAGTAAAACCTGCTCCCTGCTGTGCGCTGCGTTCATATTCACTTTATTCCTCATGAAAAATCCATCCATTTTATTCCTGGCAGTGGAGTCCAGGGTAATTTTGAGACTCTAATGCAATCTACCAAAAGTGGGTTCAAATATATAAAATGCTGGTGCAAATGAAGCAGACGTTTCTGAAGAATGGCAGGGGGAAGCTTGTTGCTACGGTGACAGTTAGAGGAACAGAATGAGAGGCCACATTTTAACCTGGTATTAGCAGGGGATCTAATCACAGGTGGACAGCACTAAATATAGTTTCAAACAGAGTCCAAAAAAATATTGTCATCACTCGAACCACAAATCGAGGTAGTCAGAAATGAAAATGACCATACTGCATTTATAATGTAAACACTGATGCAACTAGGACAGTGTTTCTCATTGCGCAGCTCGCAATGCTTTAATTTGTGGCTCGCATGTAGGGATGCAGCGATTAACCGGTTTCACAATTAACCGCACTTTAAAATGTCACGGTTAATTAATAGTAAAGCCTCCGCTATACCGAGTGTTTCTGTTGCACCGAACGGAACAGTTGCAACGTGCGCAAAATGAAAACAAAGTTACACTAGCGGTGTACCAGCTTAAAATGCGGTGCTTATCAGAGACACGGAGGCTACTACACACACTAGATTAACTATGACAGAGGAACCAAACAGTGATCCTTTATTTCCACCAGAGAAATGCCTGAAGTTGATAGTGTGGGACCATTTTGGGTACACCAAGAATGACCAGGGTGTCATTTAAATATTGCCGTAAAAACTGCTGCTAAAGAGTGAATACACGGCTTTAAACTATTTTAATGCACGACGTGAAGGCAAGACTGATGCGAAGCTACGACTCGTTAGCTCAGTATTCTGCCCACTTCAGATCAGACAGATGAAATAGTGTGTCGCATTTATTTGAATTAATTATAACATTTAGCTACTTTAATTAATTATTCGAATTATTTGATTGAGAGAGAGGGAGAGAGAAGTGTGTGTGTGAACCTGCTGCATTGTAATCTCTACAAACATGTGAGTTTAGTTACTTAACCCTTAATCGGTCCCTGGGGTCCAGCTGACCCCATTTGAATTTTCCTTTATTTTTTTAAAGTGTTCTCTTCATTTCAGGGGCATGACATTCTGTGAATTTTCCTAAATAATCTAAACACACACAAAAAATTTGACTCGACTTGATTTGGTTGTTCTAAAGGTGTGTAAAAAAAATCACTGTTAAAGGTCCTTGGGGTCAGATTGACCCCACATTGAAAATGAATGGGAAAATGTAAAAATGATTTTTTTTTTTTTTTTCATAATAAAAAAAAAATAAAAGTATAAATCTGAAAATTTCTATATTTAAATAAAGGTCTGGTCCTAGACCATAAACGAGTCCAAAAAAATATTGTCATCACTCGAACCACAAATCGAGGTAGTCAGAAATGAAAATGACCATACTGCATTTATAATGTAAACACTGATGCAACTAGGACAGTGTTTCTCATTGCGCAGCTCGCAATGCTTTAATTTGTGGCTCGCATGTAGGGATGCAGCGATTAACCGGTTTCACAATTAACCGCACTTTAAAATGTCACGGTTAATTAATAGTAAAGCCTCCGCTATACCGAGTGTTTCTGTTGCACCGAACGGAACAGTTGCAACGTGCGCAAAATGAAAACAAAGTTACACTAGCGGTGTACCAGCTTAAAATGCGGTGCTTATCAGAGACACGGAGGCTACTACACACACTAGATTAACTATGACAGAGGAACCAAACAGTGATCCTTTATTTCCACCAGAGAAATGCCTGAAGTTGATAGTGTGGGACCATTTTGGGTACACCAAGAATGACCAGGGTGTCATTTAAATATTGCCGTAAAAACTGCTGCTAAAGAGTGAATACACGGCTTTAAACTATTTTAATGCACGACGTGAAGGCAAGACTGATGCGAAGCTACGACTCGTTAGCTCAGTATTCTGCCCACTTCAGATCAGACAGATGAAATAGTGTGTCGCATTTATTTGAATTAATTATAACATTTAGCTACTTTAATTAATTATTCGAATTATTTGATTGAGAGAGAGGGAGAGAGAAGTGTGTGTGTGAACCTGCTGCATTGTAATCTCTACAAACATGTGAGTTTAGTTACTTAACCCTTAATCGGTCCCTGGGGTCCAGCTGACCCCATTTGAATTTTCCTTTATTTTTTTAAAGTGTTCTCTTCATTTCAGGGGCATGACATTCTGTGAATTTTCCTAAATAATCTAAACACACACAAAAAATTTGACTCGACTTGATTTGGTTGTTCTAAAGGTGTGTAAAAAAAATCACTGTTAAAGGTCCTTGGGGTCAGATTGACCCCACATTGAAAACAAATGGGAAAATGTAAAAAAAATATATATTTTTTCATTTAATTTGTCAAAAAAATTAAATAAATCCAGTATAAATCTGAAAATTTCTACATTTAAATAAAGGTCTGGTCCTAGACCATAAACGCAAAGTGGAACGAACATTCTATCTCACGTGTGCAGTGGTGGAAAGAGTACTGAAAAAATATACTCAAGTAAAAGTACCATTACCTTCCAAAAAATGTAGTGTAAGTTATTCTCAGTACAATCATCCCCATTTGAAAAAATAGATTTAAAATCAAGGCCACTGAGACAGCATGCTGTTGTTGCACATAAAATATTAATGTTTAGAACCATGCAAATACAAACACCATTAGAAACTCATAGTTCAGCATCACACACCATGATATGGGTTAAAATGAGAGCCCATTTCTCTCCAAAACGGTGCCAGTTTTAGCGTTTTGCAATAAAGAAATAAGAATAACTAAACTTGATCATTTATGTTACAATTTTAAAATAAATGCACATTGTTCTAGAAGGGTGGCATCATGCCATACCTTTTACACATTTACTCAAATTGTTATGCTGATAATACAATTTGCAAGGAAAAATGCAGGGAGTTAACACTGTACGCAATACCCGCAATCTCACACCAAATTTCAGGCCATGTAGATAGGCAAGCATTTATAGAAATAATTTAGTAAGCAGAAATCCGAAATTTACCTTAACATATTAGAGGAAGATGCGACTGAATTGATGTTTGAAAAATGAATTTCCAGTAGCCATGATAAACAGCAGTTGGCGGTTAAAGTTTTCTATGCACAATTTGATTTGACGAAAGTCACGAGACCGATTACTATCTTTCTATCTATCCAATCACATTGATGGATAAAAATAAAATGAAAATAAGCATGTAACGACCACAAACGGAGGAAAATAGTGGAGTAAAAGTACCGATACATCACTTAAAATGTACTCAAGTAAAAGTAAAAGTACACGATTTTTAAACTACTCAAAAAAAGTACAATTACTGATAAAAACTACTTAATTACTGTAACGTGAGTATTTGTAATTCGTTACTTCACACCCCTGCACGTGTGTGACTGCAACAGAGAGCATTTTCATAGAAATTGGCAAATAAAATCAACAAAACTGGCATAAATCTGAAAAATTTCCATACATAAATGAAGGACTAATACTAGAGCACAAAGCCAACATGGAACAAGCATGTTCACTCTCACACACACACACACACGCACGCGCGTGCAGGTGTCTGGGGCATTTTTTAGATTTTGGCAAATAAAATCAGACATAAATGCACAACAGTGTGAAGGGGTAGACATAACACACCACACACGCACACGCACAAGCGCGCACACACACACACACACACAGAGAGAGGGAAAAAGGGACAGAAAAAAGCAGGATTACCAGGAATCTGAAGAGGAGGATTATGCAGTGTTTATTTGTGATACATAATTTTCTGAAATAAATAGTATGTGATTACAGTCATGTCTTTTAGTGGTGACTTGTAACAATTCTGCAAAAGCAAACAATTCAAATATATATCAGACAACAAAAAATAAATACAAAAATACTGATTTTTTATGTATTTTAGAATGTTTAAATATATATTCACAAAATATATATCATAAAGTTTCAATATCCAGAAACCTTTTATATTTAATTTAGGTCATAATTTAAGGGATTTTATCATTAAAAAAAAATTTCATAAGCCAATTTATGGCATAGTCGAGTATTTGTGCAGTAAATAGGTAAAAAACTACCAAACATCCACAAAAACACAGCATAAATGTATAGCTGAGAAGTAAATAAAAAAAATGATATATAGTTTGTCATATAAAAATTTATATTTCCTTATGCAATCGCTCTGTAAAAGTTTGGGGTCTATCTGACCCCAAAGGGACTTTAATGTCGCTCTATTCAAGGGACGATTAAAGGTTAAACAGTGATTTTACCCTCTCCTTGCTGATGAATATGTAGCAATTCAGTATCTAAGCTATTTTATTAATTAAAGTCACGGGGCAGGGTTCACAACAAGTTTGTGTCCTCATGAATGTTTGTATGTGTGCGCAGCGCGATCTCCGATCTCACAAACCAAAATAATAGACATGATTTTCTCAGGCTACATGTAAAATCATATGAATTATTATAAAAATTATTAAAATGAATACGTATGGATGACAGTTGATTACAATGATAGTTCAGTTTATTCCCCTCATTATTAATAGTTTCCCCTGTGGGATAAATAAAGTTAATTGTCCTATATTAATAATACTTATTAACATTGTTATCTATAATCCCTTTTATAGTATTATGCATAAGTCAAAAATCAACAAGATTTTTTTTTCACCATGTTTCCAGTTTTCTGCCTCAGGTCCAAAAGAAATGTAAAGAATGTACAAACTGAAAACACTAAATACGTTTGTGATCTATTTTCATTAGTTATTTTCAAAATGGAAGTACTGACATGGATGTTTACAGAGCAGAGGTCACCTTTTTAATTCCAATTGGAGAGATGAACTTTTGTTTGTCTTTATTATTATTATTTTGTGCTGTATTATTGGTTACTGTGTTATTTCTCTTTCTAAAGGCAGCAATAAATAACACTTTATTATCTAAAGAGTGTCCATGTGATTTTATTCATTAATAATTTTGTGAAATTAATAAATGCATAATAATCGTCATAATCGTGAAACCGTGATTATTCCTCAGACAATAATCGTACCAACAAAATCTATAATCGTTGCATCCCTACTCGCATGGCAGTAAATAATACGATGATATGATCATGCAGTCAATACAGATATTTCATAAAAACATTAAAAACATGCAGGGCTATAATATAACCCATTAAAAACACTGTCTACACCAAATACGAGTGGCGCGACGGGACAAAAGACAGTAGAACCTAGGCCTGGGCGATAAAACAGTATCGATATTTATCGACGGTACACCTTCGATATCAATAGAAAAAATTTTCGATATAGGAGATTGTGAATAAAGAATGAATATTAGTCGATTTTAAAATAAACATTTGCATTTGAATGTTAGGTGTGCATCAGGGTGCGTGAGATGCGGTGATGATGTAAGTGACGTTGTTGCATTTGAATGTTTTGTTAGTCTAGCCCACGAGATGCACCGCTGCTGTGTTATCCATTCAAAATATTAGAGAAATATAGAAGCTCAATGCGGAGAAGATCTTGATACAGGTTAAAACCGAAACCAAGCCATTCACACAGAACGCATATTCAGCGCATTTTTAGATGGACAAATATGACTGCTGCACTCACGTCTCACACAAGAGATGTATAGAAAGCCATGCAAAGTTAAAACAGTTTAAACTTTTAGAAAACACGTCACGAATTTGTGGAGGTTTATTCCTTTTCACTGCGTCTCATATGTTTTTAAATGCAATCTGTGTGAATGGCGCTTCGGCTCTTTAGGGTAAGCAATGCATAAATACATGATGCTGTTTTGTTCATAATTGTTTATGCAATTTACGAAATTATATATTTGATTTTTATGAGTTAATTTACGAAATTGATTTTTATGAGTTAATTTAGACGTTATGCACGTTTTTATAGTTACTTCCTTAAGTTGACAATTTAAAAATTTAAATTTATTTTGCTCATTGCGCCCTCCTGTGGCCTAAGGAGACAAGACAAAAGTTTCCTTAAAACCTATTTAATCTGCA